CAAAACACTAAAAGTGTCAGAAAAAAATGAGTCACTAAACAAAACAGAAACTTAAGATTTGAATTACTTTTTAAAGAGACCCAACTAGGTGAAAGGAGTGAACTTATAAAGCATGTTTTAAGTCTTACTGGCCAGTCAAAGTGCTTTATAATATCACTAAATTCACCCAATTGCTCTCTCAAATATGCACAGATTTAAAAACCAACATGCAGACCGGTGAGCAACTTGGTGTGAACGTGCCTTGTTAATGAATCGGCAAATGAAAAGAGGAAGCAGGAATTATCCAAAAAACTCTCAGATTGCAAGATGACTACCCTTCTAATAATTTCCCTTTAGAAAAGGCCTCAAACTCTATAGTGTTTAGTTCAGGCTTCCTGATATCTGCTATCAGCAGGATTATCTGTACATGTGTAGAAATTAGTTTTCTTATACATGCATCAAGAGTTTAAAAACATGGCTGCCATACATTGCATCCTGGGATAGCGGCTCTTTTTTTTTCTAAAAAAAAGAGCACCGAAACAATGCCGCATCCCAGAATGTATTAAGCGGCAGCCATGTTTTTGAGAATCTTGATGTTTGCTTAAGGCCACTTTAGATATCTTCACCTCATCTGGCATTTTTATACCCCTTGCTGACACCTAAAATAACTTACTTTGACTTGTTTTTTATTTAGTAATATTCACACCAAGGAATGTTATTGCGAGCTTCAATCAGAAACACTACATTCACTGAGCAGAAAATGGGTATTTCAGCCTTTCAGGACAGCACTTGGGGCAGTTTAAGCTCAAAATCTTCATTTATACACATTAAGGGTTCTAACAGTAGCCAATGGAAATGTTGTTAGGAGACCTTAAAGCACATTAGGGAGCTATAATAATTATGATTTAGAGCTCTCTGCTCCCAACGTTTAGCACTGAAAACAAAATTTCAGAAAAATTATTGCCTGTAAAGTTACATTCTAATCAGATTTGATGCTGTTTTCATTTTGTTTCTATAAACTACCTCATAACCAGTTGGGTTCATTCATGCAGAAATGTATAGAAAGGAAAAAAAATGTCAATGACAAATGTTATATTAGTCTGCAAAAATCAGCATTCAGCAGAGCACCTGAACAGGTAATCTGACCACAGCAGCAGGCAGACTCACCCTCTGTGCAAAACCCCAAACATTGCTGACATGAAGCCAGCAGATGTCTCATTCTGTTCCTCTGCAACACACACATCTCCCTCTGCCCATTTCAGGGCGCTAACACACACACACACACAGATAAAAAACATACACACATTTATTTAACTATAAAGCTCAGATAAAATTCCTTCCATTTGAAAGAGGAGCTTAAATGGGGTTAGTTGTAGCCACTGATTGCTGTGGTTAGACTGCAGCACATTGGAATGATGTTAGTAAAGGTTTAGGTTTGTGTCTGGAAGGTATGCAACCATTACTGACTCACCCCCCTACTACACCCTCCTCCTGCTCCTTCGCTGCAGGACTTTCAGTACTTTCCGACTCTCTATGCGCCCCTGCTTCCGCTGTGGTCTCCTCCACAGCTGCCCAAAGTTTGTTCACTTCACGGCTCTCCGGCTCCTCTGTGATCACAAGGCTTTCTCCATCAACAGCTTCAGCTTGCTTCTTTTCGCCATCTCCTTCCTGTTGCAGTTTACATGAAAGCTTAAGGTCTTGCCCCTGCCGCAGCTCTCGTTTCGGTTTTTCCGGAAACACATCTGTCTTCTCTCCAGCTGATTTTTGGGAAGGCTCAGGAGAGATTGCTGGTTGCACAGTGGGTTTCTCAGGCTCCTTTGGCTCATCTGAAGCTAATTGTGAGCTTGTTGGTGATTCTGAATGTCTCTCTGAATCATTTGCTGGTTGGAGCTTCTCTGATTCCCCCTTGGTAGATTCTTCTGAAGGTGAACTGCAAAAAAAGTCAGACGAATGTTAATTCATGGCTTCTCTAAACACATTTATTATTTTTCAAAGTTATGCTTTAGAAAAACAGAAGCATGGAAAGGAGGATAAATAAGAGAAGCAAGCACAAAGCTGTCCCCCCGTCATCCATCCTTACCCTCTGCAACAAGGTTTTGCACCCATCTTGGCAGATATTTGAACAGTTGTATCAGTTACATTTCTCCCCTCTAGCACTTTCCAAAGAGGAGTCTCTGCATCTGACAGCCTCTGTGGAGACGGTGCTAAGGTCAAGACCTCTAATTTCAGTGTTTTATTCAGGTCAACAGTAGAGCCTGAATGAATATCAGGTGGAGAATGACAGGAGTCGGATCGTTCCTTTTCTGGGGTGTCACTGTTTGACATGGAGCATTCCTCTATGACAGAGGGCTTCTTCAGACTGTAGTAAGAAGGGAAAATAAGGAAAACAAATAAGAAAATAAAGAGAAACAGACAGAAACATGTTGAGGGTTTAAGAGCACACATAGATCTGACAGTGGGAAATTAGGAAGCGAAGCAGAATTTGATGCAACTAACAACTGGGGTGGGATGACTAAAGATATTACATTATCAGACGGAGGAGTTTAAGAAGCTGCGATGAACAAAAAAAATCGTTGTGGATCCATATTTAACTTGTATCGCTCTCTGTTATTCTGCACATTATACATGTGTTTGACACAGGACTTTTTTTGTGGGGAAAAAAATGTATATCTATATATTTTTTCACAAGTGTAAAAAGTATTCACATGGGGGGAGGGGGCATGTTTTAATAAAATAGGATGTGTAATGTAGCATGTTTGTAGGTAAGTATTCAGCACAGTGGTAAGGCTCAAGGGTTTTTAGTCCAGGCTATGATGAAATTGGAATGGAGAAAAAAAATCAGCAGTGTTGTTTGCAAACAATCTGTATGTTTTAATCTGTAAAATGTTAGAAAAGATAAAATAAAAAAAGAAAAGATTATTTTAAACTTTGAGCAATATTATGAACCAAAGAGAGAGAATAACTTTGAAATTACATGGCACAATTGTATAACATTTATTCAATGTGATTTTAAAAAAATGTTATGATATTAATTTCCCTTCTTTAATTCTGAATTCCTGAGCTATCTTTATAGT